AAAAAAAGCATAAAGTAGCAATAAATAATTTTCTTATGATTTCTCAAATTTTTCTTTCTTTCTTTCTTTCTTTTTTTTTGTCAGTGGTGGGGCTTGAGCTCAGTGCCTAGGCACTGTCCCTGAGCAATTTGCTCAAGGCTGGTGCTCTACCACTTTGAGCCACAGTTCTACTTCCAGTTTTCTGGTAGTTAATTGGAGGTAAGAGTCTCACGGGGATTTTCTGCCCAGGCTGGCTTTAAACTGTGATCCTCAGATTTCAGCCTCCTGAGTAACAGGATTAAAGGCATAAGCCATTGGCACCTGGTGATTTGCCAAGTTCAAAAGGACAATTTAATTGAATATAATCTTTATGGGAAAAGGATGACATTTTCCAAACTGAGACTAATCGAAAAGACTTCAAACCTGGGGTTTCATTTTTAAAATGGTTTTCTGGGAAAATATTCTCTGTGTGCTGTTTTTCTTGTTACTGCCATCTGAACAAAATGAACTCTCTTCCAAGAAAACATCGACTTCAAGTGCAACTCCTAAGCCAAAACTTGTTGAGAACTAATTAGTGACAGAGACCATGAGACACTGGGATCCAAGATAGATAAGGATTCTCATCTTCTAAGAACACAGCAACTATTCATGTAAACAGCTGTGGTATAGTGCAGTGGCTGACAATATACTGCAGACAAGAGCAAAATAAGTTCTGTCAAGGGAAGGAAGAGTGGATCACAAGAGGACACAGCGGTCTGAAAAGATGAGTAGGAGTTTGACAGATTTGTGCATTTTGATAGCTAAAGAAACTGAGATTGGTTCACTCAAAGGGCAGAGTCAATTAGTAGTATGATAGACTATAAGTAATAGTTGCTATTACTTATTATATGTTTACTTTCTAGGCAGAAGTATTATTTCATTTAATTTTCACATTATGCTATGAAATAGAAACTATTATTATCCCCAGTTTATAGAAGTTCTAACTGAGGCATACAGATAATTTAACCTGCCAAAAGTCCCCTGGTAAGTGGCAGGTCTAAGATTTGAAACATCTCCATATGCTTGTAGAGCCCTTTCTCAACTATCATGTCCTTGAAGAATTTGTCTTATGGCTTGCTAATGTTCAGAGAATTAAGGGGAGAAACTTGTCATGTACAAGATGAATAGTGAGTAGAAACAAAATATAAATGAAAAAAGCCAGGCATGGCAGCGCCAGTTGTAGTCTCAGCACTCAGGAAACTGAGGCAGGATGCTTACAAAATCATGTTCAGACTAGGTCTTAATCATAAGACCTTGTTTCAAAAGACAAAACAGTTATGATGCATTTGTTCTGAGTACACTGTGTGTGTATGTGTGGAAAGACCACAATGAAATCCCCTCATCTTAATAAATTTGATTCAAAAATTAAAAAAAAAGAATTTCAGAGAAAAGATTATGATAGTTAAAGATAGTAAAAATAAATAAATAAAGGTTACTAAAACACTACTTTCAGCTAACCTCATTGCTACCCAGTAAGCGTATAGTTATAGTCTGGGAAATGTCCCACTGAAAGAGGGCAGATTGTTTTGACATGAGTAAAATAACAACTCACTGTTATTCTGAACTCTGGCAAACTCAGGGATGTCAGGCCTAGAAAGGCAATGGTGAGACCATCCAACCCATTGTTCAACAAGCAATCCACATTAATGGAAAGCAGCCAGGACTCAAAGAGAGAGGATATTAATGAATTTGTAGTAGATTTCTCTTCTAGTATAGTCAATTTCCACTGTAATGAAGAGCCTTTCAAAAGTAACTTCTCATTTGAAAACATTAATAAATCAGTGAAGATGAGAGAAGGTGACACCTGAAGTCATAGGCTGGTGTCTGGACTTCCACACTGAATAAAAACAGGCTTGGGCTACTTTGGGCCCATACTGCCCAATAGTTGATTGTCAAGGCCCAGCACACAACTGTCTCTCAATAAACAATAGTTTCATAATTTACTTAGATGGCCTATGAAGGGGAAATGGACAGATTTCAATTGTCTTGCTTTTCAACATGTGTCTCTGCTTCTGTGAACATTATCTTCATGGTTATATATTGATAGAAGGAGTAGGATTAGAGAATTCTTCTTAAGATATTTTTGAAATGTGAATCACATGTTTAAGACTTGGGTCCAAGGAAAAGTGTTTTTCTTTTGATTGCAAAAGAGATTTTACAGAGTGTGCTCTGTTCTTTTTCTCGACCAAAGGCCACACCTCATCAAGGGAAATAGTAAAGGTTGAAAGGAGCTGAGAAAAGGGTGAACTAGGAATAAGATTTTAATAGTAGAGGTTTGGTTGGTTCTTTCACCACAGGAGCAAGCCATCTGGAGAATACATAATTTTTGTGATGCTGGGAGTCAGGAATCATACCAGAAACTTTTTTTGCGTAACAATCAAATAATAGAGGCAAGGGCATGCATGTCCATGACAGAGAGGATGGTGAATATAATGAAGTCCAGCTCCTAGAAAACCAAGGTTATTGCTGTTTTCCATCTATCTAACCAACTTTGTAAGAGCACTACTCAAGTGTCCAATAAATAAGGAACACATCCATTTTAATTAGATTATTTGGAGATAAATTTTGATGGAGTCAAAGGAAAAATGTTTTAAAAACTAGATATGGGACGATCTATTCTGGTTTCAGTGTAATGTTCTATGAAATTATATGCTGACTTCCCAATGCCTTCTGAACATGGGTAAAAGAGAGGTAGAAGCACTGAAATGGGAAGGGAATTATTTGCAGTTACTTGATGCTTCAATATAAAAAATACTTGGCCTCAAAATAATGTAGGATGCCATATCAGAAATTGAAGGCTGTATCGTTTTAGTTGTGATTTTTAAAACACAAGATATTCAATAGTTTTTAAACCATTTCAACTTGTTTGAAATTTATGTGTGTTTTTAGTGTATGTTTTGTTCAGGGGCTGGGAAGGTGGCTCAGTGGTAGAATGCTTGCCTCGCATGCATGAGGCCCTGGGTTTGATTCCTCCGCATCACATAAGCAGAAAAAAGCCGGAAGTGGCGCTGTGGCTCAAGTGGTAGAGAGCTAGCCTTGAGCTGAAGATCTGAGGGACAGCGCCCAGGCCCAGAGTTCAGCCCTCATGACCGACCAAAAAAAAAACAAAAAAACAACAAACCAACAAAAACCAACAACTAAGGAGTTGTAGGCATACTCAAGTGGTAGAGTGCCTGCTTAGCAAGCCCAAGACCCCAAGTTCAACCCCAGCACTGCCAAAAACAAAGCAAAACAATACTCGAAAGTTGTTTTTTTAATTGCTGCTATTAAATAAATAGCTTCCTCTCAAATGCAAAGAGGGGGAAAAAAACCAAAAACTTGATTGCTAAGATTGTACCTGCGTAAGAAGTAATATATATTAACATAGTAGAATGTATTGTTATGCTTTTAATTTTCTGTGTGTGTGCATGCATGCATGCCAGTACTGCAGCTTGGATTTGTCTTTCCAAGGCTAGTGCTATGCCACTCAAGCCACACCTCCAATTCTGGTTTTTTTGGGGGGGGCGTTTAATTGGTTATAAAAGTCTTATAATCTTTCCTTCTCTAACTTTAAACCAAGGTCCTCAGATCTCAGCCTCCTGAGTAGCTAGGATTATAAGCATGAGCCACTGGCATCTGGAAATACTCAAAATTTTAGTCCATAGTAAGATATGTGCATGCTAGCAAACATGTTACAATACAAATTTGTGTACTTCCAATGATGTAGATCTAAAAACTCATAATCTTCCTGCTTTGGCCTCATGAATATTGAGATTATAGGTCTATATCAACTCACTTAGTTCATATTTAACTATTGAATTATCATTTTCAAGTAATGCTTTTGTGCTTTCATATTTGTAATAACCATCATTTAAATGAATAACTGATACTCAATTTCTAGCTAAAATGTGATTTATTGGCCAGTCCCATGTGTATGCCCTTACTTGGTAAAAATGCTATGAAGTTTGTCATATTCTCACCTCTGCCTTTCACCTATTCACTTATGAGTTGACTACTTTTCTATACGGACAATCCATAGATGGAACAAACTTCAAATTCAGATTGCTTCAAAATCTGAAACATTTTGAGCACCAATAAGATACCACAACTGGAAATTCTACACTTAGCTTCATGTGATAGGTCACAATCAAATAAAGTTACCTTTAGACCATGCTTATAAATGTTACATATTGAAACATAAATGAATTTTGTTAGTGGCATATGCTTTCAATCCCAGCACTAGTGAGACCAAGGGAAGAGAGAGGCAATTTCAAGGCCAGTCTGGGCTCCATAATAAGACCTTGCCTCAAAGAAATTAAATTAAATTAAAATAATAAATAAAAGAATTTTGTGGTTAAACTTGGGAGCCATCTGTAAGATATATTGTTATACATATGCAAAATTTCAAAAAATCTGAAAAAGAAAACCAAAACAATTTGATCCCAAAGAGATACTTAGCTTGCTCTTAAATCAGAACAAGCAAAGCTTAAAGAGAAGAGAAAAAGAATATGGAAATCAGGGCAAGGAAATAAACAACAATAACAGAAAAACTGTAATAAACACCTTGAAGCACAATTATCTTTATTATATTTAAGTTATAAGATTAACATAACGGATATTTTATATCCTGGTTTATGCTATGAATCAACTCTTTGTAAAAGCAATGCAAAAAACCCCTCAAATATAGAGACGGTTTATGTTGTTTCTGTTAATGTCATAGAGATATTGAAGTCTGTGTTTGACACAATTTTTAGGGGGATTGTTTTTTGTGTTTTTAAAGTGTGGCAAATGTATCCCCTGCCAGGAAAATCTTAGAATTCACTTAATTTTTCTGATAAATATTTTCACTCAGCCATACAATCCATTATTAAAATGAACCTAAAAAGTCTTATTTTCCAAAGACCACTCAACATCTTCTTTGGAAAGTAATTTTAGAGTCTCTCCATGCAGGCTCCCTGCTCCTAACCACCCCCCCCCGCACCCCACATTGCAATCCAATTAAAACCTCTTAATGTGCTTTCACACAGGACACCACCTGTGTTGGATGCACTTTGGTCTAGCAAGAGCAGAGGGAGAAAACAAAAAGAATCTCCCCCACCCCTTAGAGGAGCCGAGTTACCTACCACCACCTGAAATTCATTCAGGTAAGAAAAGGGTTTTTCTCTAGCCAGTCCTTCATCTCTACTAATTTTCTGCTCCTCCCTCACTTCTTCACTGCTTTTGGAGAGAGAAGAAAATAACCAAAAGAACGCACATTGAAGATGCCGAAGTCCAAGGCCAGGGGGCTACAGAGGAAAGGAAGGTCCTCAAAGTGGGAGAAGACAGCATCTGCCTAGTATTCATCTCTCTAACTCTCTCTCTCTTCCTGTCTTTCTCATTTCATTTCCCATCTCTCTCTCCTTGTCTTTGTCTCCGTTTCTGTCTCCCTCTCTGTCTCTCTGCCCTCTCTGTTTCTCCCTGCCTCCTACTATCTTTTTCTCTATATTTCTCTCTTTTAACTACATACATTCCTACACATATTTTTAGTCTAAGGATCTGTAAATGGTTTCTTGCTTCTGTGTTCTCTGAAAAGATGTCAAACTTCTCTGAATGATGCCAAACTCCCACAACCTCACCCTAACAGATATTGAGTGAAATGCTATGACAATATGGGAAACACACCACATATAGATATCTTTTATAATTTTAGCTATTAAAAAATAAAACCATTTCTGAAACACAAAGATGTTGAAGAAATTAAATGTTTGATATCTTTATAGGTGTGACCAACTTATATGGGAGAGGTTCTGGAGAAAAGATAGAACCTGAAATAAAAAAGATTTTAAAAAATCATTTCCTACCTTGTCTTCAAGTTCTCATATCCAGAACATCAAGTGCACAGTTTAGAGGAAAGGGAGCCTCATCTATACCAACAAAAACGATTAAGATGATAAATAACTGTAGCCACATCATAAATAAACTATGAATAACATAGGAAGAGAATGGTCTCTACAAAAGTTTCTTGTTATTCCTTCTAGAAAGATGAGAAAGTTATGTCTTTTATAATGAAAGGCACATATGACATGGCAGAACCTATAAGCATGACATAAAGTGGTCAAAATGAGTGGGAAAGAAATAATTTATTTGTTGGTTACTAATAGGTAGAAAGAATTCCCTGGGAGACTTATCATTGTCATTATATGTTTTAAATGAAGTATGAGATGGAGTTGGAAAGCACTAAGGTTATAAATATGTTCCTCTAATGATATTTTTCTCTTTTTCTCCCCCACAGGGAACAGGAGTTCTGAATATGACTGGTAAAAATTGGATATTAATTTCTACAACCACTCCTCAAAGTTTGGAAGATGAAATAGTTGGAAGACTTCTGAAAATTTTGTTTGTTTTATTTGTTGACTTAATGACTATTATGTATGTTGTTATAACTTCTTAGGAAGTTTGACTTCCTTTCCATGTACATTTCAAACTGAACTCCAGTGAATAAAAGTTTGTATGTTGAGTGACTTCACTTTGCTGATGTCACCAACTTATTCAGGAAGCCAATAAAACATTATAATAGAAACAACATGGTATTCTTTAGTACTGTCTGGTTTATAAATAATCTTCACGTAAATTGAAGTGCATTTATTTTCTGAAAAATCTACACAATCATAAAACTGCTCAATTCTTGATTTGTAAAATGTTCTTATTAATATTATTATTCTCTATTTTTAAAATAGTGTTACCTAAAATTTGTAGGTAAAATTATAAACGAACTTGATTTTTTTGTGACCTTTCGTGCCATTCTATTTTTTTGTTGCTCTATTTATTTTTATTATCTTTCAGTAGTTGTATGAAAGGGGTTTCAATTCAACATGTCAGTTTGTGAATACAATGAGCTATTCTATTTTTAATACAACCTCAGCTTTCCAAAGCCATGTTTTCATATAATATAGCAATAGTTTTTACCCACTTTTTTTCTTTTCTTTCTTTCCTCTCCTCTTTCCTCCCTCCCCTCCCCTCTCCTTCCCTTTTCTTCACGTCCCTTGCATCCTTCTTCCCTCCTTACTGTCTTTTTTTTATTAGTAGGTTTTGAACTCAGGGCATTTTTGGAAGGTAGGTGCTCTTATCTCAAAGCCAAATCTCCATGTCTACTTTCTGCAGGCATTTTGTGATAGTATATTGCTTTTTTTCCCAAGTGTATACCCAGGTGAGATCTGCCTCTGTAGCTAAAGTAATAGGGGTACATATCACTAGGCCGAACTCTTAGTTAAAAAGGGGATTGTAAACTTTTCTTCCCCAGATACCTATAAACCATAGTCCCGCTGATCTCAATTTCCAGAATAGCTAAGATTAAAGGTGTGAGCCACTAATGCCCAGCTTACCCATTTTCTTTCTTTCTTTCTTTCTTTCTTTCTTTCTTTCTTTCTTTCTTTCTTTCTTTCTTTCTTTCTTTCTTTCTTTCTTTCTTTCTTTCTACTAGACAGGTTTAATGATACATTCCTCTTCACAGAGAAATTTAACAGGAATACGCCCATGCAGTGCAGATCCCAAATACACTGGCTTCCCACCTAAACCATCCCAGCTCTCCTCCAGGATAACAGCTGCCAGTGGAGGAATGAGAAACTTAACTTTGTGGGGGAAAAAAAGGAGAAATAGCATTAGCTGGTAATGGAGGAATCGAGTGCCCTTCACTGGGCTGTTTTGGCCTTCTTATTCTTGTTCTTCTTGTCTCTCTTCTTCAGCCCATCCATGTTAACTCTGAGCAGGTTTTAATAAGCCATCTGAAATTTATTCACTTCTTTGGAGCTCACCACAGTGCTGATCTTCTTCTTCCCATCAGTAGCTCTCAACAGACACTTGTTTTCTGCAGGCTCAAGACCCTCCGCAGAACCCTTCCTTGGAATGGGTTTTATTTGACCATCATACTTCTTCAAGATGATGAACACGCTGCCCAGTGGGTGGCACTTCTGGAACAGCCTGCTCAGCTCCATCAGGAACTGCTCGCTCTCCAACAGCACCATGGCGGGGTGCTGCGGCCCACCGCTCAGCCAAAGCCCCAAACAGTTAGGGACGGAAGTCGAGCCTCTTACCCATTTTCTTATATGCATATTTCATCAGTTTGTAGGGAGATTGTTTTCATAATCCTGGAAAATTAAATGAGAGAATTATTTCTTCCAACAAAGATTTAAGAGGGGGGAGTAGAGAGACTTATGAGAAAATTTTATTTTAGGGAGAACATATCAGGAAAGAAAAAAAGTAGGATAGTGCTATATTAGCTTCTTATTTTGAGCTAAATGCCACTGTTATATTAGTTAACAGAAGGCTTACAAGACAGGTATATCCTGAGACAGATATAGGTCACTGACCACCTCCCCACTTAAACAATGAAGAAAGTGAATCTGGAGAAAATATGCCAGCTTGAGGCCATAACTAGAAAGTATCAAACTAGGTCTTAAGCCCTCACAATCAATAATATTATATTTCCTTCAAAGGTAAATAATAATACATCAGTAAAATAAAATGAATCTGCTGAGCTCAAGTTCTATTTATTTGGGCATAATATGCTCTCCAGGTCCCTATCACTACGTTTAGTGCTGCCTCTGGATATTTTCTCACTCCACATTTAAAAATCTTTTAACAGGAAGATTAAGTTTACCTCTTTCTTAAGTTCAACATAACAAAGTGTTCTTTTGCCTTGTTTTCTTAATTCCTTCATTTTCTGACAGTCTTCGTTAAAATATAACTTTTAAACTGCCGTTTAAGCTTTTGGAAAGCAAAGTTCCTCTGTCCTTTACACTTTTTGTGTTTTTTTTTATTAGACACGCATGCTTAACAAAACTTGAATATCTTCAGTGTGATGATTTTCTTCTCTGAATTGGCCCAGTCACTAAATAATTCAAGGTTTTATAAGAGACCTAATGGAGTGTGAAAGGAATTGGACTTTTGAGACATCTTCCCGAACTGACTCTTCCCTGACCTTCATGTGATGTTGGATATTTAAACACAACCCTTCCTTTTGTACAAAAGGGCAACCTTCTATTGATGGGATATGCATCTCCCCATCCCCTTGACCTGGGATTTCTTTGAGCCAATCTTCAGATCACTCACTGATGAGAAAAATCACTTCTGTATTCAGGGAATTGTTTGGTTATTTTGTTTATCTCCCTCCCCTAGCTTCAAGGACATAGGCAGTTTCATTAGAACTAGCAACCCTGAAGCTTGACTACACAGGCAGTATATAACCTGGCTTCCCTTCTCAACTGGCCCTTCAGCTTTCTTAACCAAGGAATAGCACCTATTTCTCTATGTCCTAAGTTTGTAGAGAGGAGGATGAGATGACTAGTATGAAGAGCTTAGTGCAGTGTCTAGCATTTGAAAACCCTTACTTTATAGTAAGTTATTGTTGTTATTATCTATAGGTGGGAGCAGAAGTGATTTATCTCACTTCAAAGTGAATGTTAGCAAGCCTCAGACACCTGGCCTATGCTCTACGTTAGCCCATGCTATTGGCCCAAGGCCAGTGATGGCCTTCCACTGATGCCTGGGCATAGTTCTGTTGGAGACAGAAGTCTGAGCTGGTTGACTCTGGGAGGGCTTTGTTTGCTATGTTTGGGTCGAGGAATGATGTCTAAATTTTATGCTATTACTTGATCAAAGAAGAAAAACACATGATAAACACGGAGTCATACATGTAAGTAATGTTTGTAAAGGCAGTTTTTCTTTACTCTTCAAAGAAATGTTAATTCAGTTCCTATTTTGCCAAATTCCTATTTTGCCAAGTAGGATGTTGGGGAGCCAAGTCGAAGTGATGGGCAAAACAAACTTGGTTCCTGTTCTCATGGAGTTCACAGCCTAGGGGGAAAATCGGGGAATGTGCAAATGGTACAATTATGATTGGGGACTATCAGGTAGGACACACCCAGAGTGTAATGATGTTATAGTGGGAGATGATCAGCAGCAGGATGATCAGCAGCAGCAACTTCTAGGGGGTGTTAGACACCTCAATCCTAACACCCCTGAAAGCTACTGAGTTGAGAATCTGCATTGTAACAAGTTTCCCATGATTCATATTCACGCTATGGTTTGGAAAACTCTGGGCAGCTCATGGATAAGGTGCTCTGCTATGTTGTTGCTCTGGCTACTGGACAGCTATGTGACCTTTGGGCAAGTTGTTAAACCTTTGTGGGTTTTCTGCTTCACCTATGGTAAAGGAAGAGAGTGGGGAGTGGAGAAAGGAAGGAAAAGAGGGAGGAAGGAAGGAAGGAAGAAATCAAGAAGGAAGAAAAGAAGAAAGGAAGGAAGAAGGGAAGGAAAGAAAGGAGGGAGGGAGGGAAGGAGGAAGGATGGATTCTATCTGCTTTGTATATCATAGAAATACTGTGAACATTAAATAAACTGTGTTGCAATTTTCATGAAAGCCTTACAATGGAGTTGAGTAAATGTAAGATTTTGTCAAAGAAAACAGGAGGAGCTCTCTAAGGGCAGAATGTACTTTGTAAGGAGTGGTGTAAGTAACTCATAGCTCCTGTCAGTAATAACTGGGAAAAGATTGCTTTCACAAATAGAAACAATATTCTTGATTACAGGTGTGTGTGTATGTGTGTGTGTGTGTGTGTGTGTGTGTGTGCGCGCGCGCACGCACGCAATCTGGATTAAGTAACATGTTTTTCTACAGTGGATTTCTGTGGTCTTAGAACTTAATGTCCCTCTTCAATCCTTCACTGGAGTACATAGCATTTCTTTTCTTTTTTTTTTTTTTTGAACTCAAGACCTTAAGCCTGCTTGGCTTGCTTACTCACTAGATACTCTATGACGTTAGCCACCCCTTCAGTACAGAAGGAGTCTTGTGACTTTTCTGCCCAGGCTGGCCTTAAACTTCTATCATCTGGATTTCAGCCTCTTGAAAAACTAGGATTACATGCGTGAGCCATGGATGCCCTACAATTTACCATTAATAAAAATAAAATACCTCAGGCCAGTCATGGTGGTGAGCACCTTTAATCCCAGCAGTGAAACCATATTAGAGAAGAGGAGCCGGCCGTGGTGGCGCACGCCGGTAATCAACGAGGAGGATGAGGCAGGAGGATCACGAGTTCGAGACCAGCCTGGGCTACACCTTTTGGAGCTCCAGTTTTGCAATCAGTTAGCGTGCGGTACTTAGAAGAGAAGAGGAAAGGGAATGGAGATGAAGAAAGGGAAAGAGAAGAGGGGAGGATAAAAAAAGAAGAGAAGGAGGAAGAGGAAGAGGAGGGAGAATAATTATTTCTGGCCATGACTAAGCATAGATATCTACATGCACATCACATTGATTCAAGTATCAATTCATTTGTATCCTTCCCAGTTCAGAGGCTTCTTAAAGAAATTGTCCTGACTGAAAAGAGAGGTCAGGAAAATGCTTGCTAGAACCTTTGCTAATTATAAAAGCAAATATGTAGAGTGGAAATGTACTGTGCCTAGTGTTTTGCATAGTTTATGAAATTTAATCTGTACTAACAAGTCAATGAGGTAGTGCCAGTTTATAAATAAGGAAATGCAGACTCAAAGGAATTAAGTAAA